TAGTGATGTAGAAGTAGTCAGCCTTCCCAGGAAATGTGTTTGCTTGAAAGCACAGGCTCTAGAGAGAATACTGGCATGTTTGACCATTCTTTTTATTCAAAACTCTGCCTAAAAGGCAGTTTTGCAAGAATTATATTCAGTGAACAGCTTTTAGATTTAATAGTTTGAGTAATATATTCTCATAGGGATATACATTTACTTAACTAGTCAGAGACTAGCCTTATGTTTATTGTTTACTGTTTAAATAAGGCTGCAACAAATAATTTTTATCACAAAAGTCTTTGGATATTAGAGATCTTGGGGGATGGAGAATGGTTAGGGAGATAGTTTTCCATGATTAATTTGGGAAACCTTGGTTTTAAAATAGGAGGCGGGGGGGGGGGGGCTGGAGCGATAGTACAGCCAGTAAGGTGTTTGCCTTGCACACAGCTGACTCAAGTTTGATTCCCAGCATCCCATATGGTTCCCTGAGCACCATTAGGAGTAATTCCTGAGTGCAAAGCTAGGAGTAACACCTATACATCACTGCGTGTGACCCAAAAGACAAAATAATGATAATAATAAAAATAGGATTCCTAGATTTCTTTACTGTGACTTTCCAAAGCCTTAAATGTATCCTTCTGTGTTGTATCTCCAAGAAGGTATAGCTCTGTGTGTGTGTGTGTGGGGGGGGGGGGGGGGGCGGGAGGAGTGTTTTCAGAAATGACCCTGGAATAGATTAATGAGATATTAATCTATATGCAAAGTTGTACCAAATGTCAATGTGTCGTTGCAGAAATTATTGGACTAATATATAGAGATTATCAGGTTAAGGTAAATAAACATTTGTGTCCTTGAAAAATTATGCCAAAAGCCTTTCCCAAAATCAAGAGAGTGGGTTGAGAGGATGGATGGCTCAAAGGGCTGGAACCTATATTTAGCCTATTGGAGCCTACAGTCTTCTAGGGCTGAACTCAACCCAGCCTATTACCGTACCAGAAACAGGGCCTGTGCTTTGGTCCAGGTGTGCCAAAAACAAAAGGCAAAACAAAGTGAATTCATAACGGTCATTGTCCCACATATTTGTTTGACAATATCCCCCCTCCTGTACCGAGTGGACTGTTTCAATCTGACCTAGTGACTGTGACTGTTTGTGGCGATATTAATTCTTCTTATAAAGTTTCATTTTTGAAATCAAATATCAACCCCCAGATTGTATATTTGTGGTAGTCATTCTCCTGTCTGTTATTTATCACATGCTTTTAGTCATGTTCTTGAATGTTTGGCACTTCTCCATTTATTTGAATCTATTTTATTGGGGGGGGGGGTGTTACAGAAGGAGTTTGGGCCATACCCGGTGTTCTCTGGGCTTACTCTTTGAACTGCACTGGGAATGACTCCCATCAGGGCTTAGGGAACCATCTGGGATGCCTGGCATTGAACCCAGGCCAGCCACATGCAAGACAAGCACCCTACCCCCTGTATTTTAGTTCTAGCCCATTAATATTAACTCTTAACCCCTCTGGAATTTATATTAATTTGTCTTGCTGCTCTTCCTCCACTAACCAAATTCACATAACTTTTTTCTCTTCCCTTAATACATGAGTATTGATACAATAATTCTTGCTAAGAGTTATCATTATTTTTTAAACTAGCAAGTGAGAAGGAGCGACACTTTGTGTGTGGTCAGGCTGAGAAGCTAAGCCAGGGCCTCACACATGCAAGGCGAGTGCTCTACCGCTAAGCACACCCAGGCTTGAAAGAAACGACACTTGAGAGTGTTCTGTTACTATGGCCAACTCCAGACTTGAGAAGAGTCTCGACTGTGATTTTAATGTGATGAAAACCATGATATTTATACACTTTCTTACACTTAATTTGATACCATGAAAAAAAAAATGGATTTTTCCTCCCTGGCAACTCATGAAAGAGATCCCTAGAAAGGACAAAAAGATTAAGAGGGTTGAAAGCCATTTGGAAATTGCAAAGAAGCAAGGAAAGTGGGCTCATGATCGGTATGAAAAATAAAAGTGGCCATTTTACAAGCATTCTGGGTTCAATTCTCAGAATCCACTTTACAGCAGAGGAAGCTGAGACTCTGGACGTGCTTCCCCTGGGTCTGATTTGTCTGATCTCTGGGGAACACAGAGCCAAGACTAATTCCAGGGGACTGTTTCTCCCCAGGACTCCTGCTCCAGTTGGGATTCTTGGATGCAGTCTTCCACCTCCTCAAGGGGCCTCCCTGTACTCTGCAGGTGTCCCAGCGCACCACTGACATTTATAGTATAAAAGGAGGGGTTGGCAGGCCCACGAACCAGGCTGCTGAAGGGTTATGGGCAGGGAGCGTGTTTAAATTCCCCTCCAGCCTGAACTGGAGGCCCTCCATGGACAAGATGTTCTCCAGTCTGGGAATGCAGATTGCTGAGAGCTTGCCATGTGGTGGGGCAGAAGGCAAGCCCATCTGGACCATGCTCATGGGCTTGGCTCATTATACCCCCTCACCTCCTCCCAAGGTATCACACCCATGGACATTGGCTAAGCGCACCCCCCTGGCCTTTTCCCATGGTCCTCTGCCCCCTGCCAGGGTACTTGAACTGTCCTGCCCTGTGAGTGCCTCAGGCCGCCTGGGTTCACTTGAAATTCCATGGTCTGGTGGGGAAACCAGCATCCCCCTGCTGATACCTGCAGTAGTCTGCTCCCCGCCAGGGCCTGGACCCCCACCCGCCACTTTTTTGAAGCTCCTCACCTGAGCTTTTCTCCGGTCAACCCTTGGGAGCCACTTTTGTGGCACTTTATATAGGCCTGGAGAAGTGGCCTGGCAAACTGAAGAGCAAGGAAGCTATCACAGGCTGTTGGGCATCAGCCCCTCTTCACCCACTGCCCCTCCCTTTCCTCCCACCCCTCCCCCCAATTGTCTGCAGGGATTCTGAGCCTTTTCCCAGCTGACCTGCTTTGCAGTGGAGAGATGTGAAAAGTTAGATACAAAAATGGTTTCTACGGAGTGATGGGGAGCTTTCTGGGAGAGAAAGGAAGGAAATACCTCATGGAATATTTTTCCCTCCCCTCTTACAAAAAAAATATATATGTATATACATATAAAGAGACTCTGTCTTTAATGCAAATGTCGGCTTTAGCTCTCTTAGGTTTGGATTAACTCCGCAGAAGGGGGTGAGGAGCAAAAATCTGACAGGCTTTCAAATATGAAGCAGAAAAACTTTTCTACCCCTCAATTCATGTAGTTCATTTGTAAAGGCAGTGGCTGTTGAATTGAATAGTGGGCGACAAGTCCCCCTTTCATTATTAACATCACAATGGTCAGAATTAGCAGCCTAAGTCCCCTACTCGGTCACTTTGCTTTTCCTCCAGCCAAGGTTCATACTAGATGGCAAAAGCAGAAGGAATCTTGCTTCTCTTATTGGCCTCTTCCCTCAAATTAGAATCGATTAAAACAAGCCTAGTAAGCAAGGTCTTTGAAGTTATATAATTTAAGGATTTTTATTTTACCTTTTCCCCCTCGAAAAGGAAAATTGGTGTTTTGTGTTTTGTTGGTGGCACTCTGGTTTTTACGATTCTTATTTTCTTGAAAGCATGCTGAGCTCTAAACAAAACCCACCGCCTTGATAGACATTTCCTCTTACATAGTTCCTCTTGGTTTTCACTATTGAAGATGTCAGCAAACTGGTGAAGATCATGTTTTGCCCGTAAAATAAAGTGACTTTTATGTGAATCATTTTTTGTCCAGTTGGTGTCCGGAATAGGAGTACTGTTCTGTTGAATCCACGCAGTAACATTTCTTTTGTAATATTTTAGCTGCCTTTGGAACTGTTTTATTTTATCAAAGGGAAAAAAACCTTCGATATGGGTTGAATCAAGTCTACATCAAAATACTTGAGTTTAATGTGGAAAAAAAATTCAGCACCAGTTCTTTTGAGGGAATAGGTTGCCTCAAACAGTTTTAAGTTAGCTTGATTGATAAGATTTATTAATTAGGACTGTTTGTGATTATGAGGCTGCTTGTAAGTATTGAACTGTAGCTCATTTTTATTTCCTGAACCACACTTGGTTTTTAAAATATCAGTGTGATTTTTAATTGGGTGTAAAATGTGTGCAAGTTTAGCTAGCCACTTTTAATGGAGTTATAACAATACAGTTATGACTTTAAATACACTCAAAGAAAGCAAAATAATTCTTTTGGTTTAATTGCCTGACACTTCTTTTAAAGCTAATTATGTTACAAAGGGATTTCTATTATAATTTTAAATAGCTAATTTGAATTTATTAATTTTTAATCATTTTCACTGCAACCCAAGAAGACTATAGCAATCTGGAATTTAGTACAAAAGAATGATTTAAGGTTCTTTCAGTGCACTTTTATTTGGGCCTTACATTTTAGGTTAAACTTTTCAAAGTGATCATATACATCACAGTAGTTTTATAAATATCTGAATGAACTTTAGGAGTATTTGAATATTCAGTCAAAAGTAACCAAATGCTATTTTCATAGATACTTTCATTTGTTTGTACTGTATACATGATTTATACAGGATGATTGTTCAATATTACATAAGCATTAACAAAATAGTTAATTTCCATTTGTCAGAGACAGGCAATTTAGTTTCTAACTAGGATTTGTTTATGTGTTGTTTTATAAGATAATTAAATCCAGAGTTAAAGTTCGTTTGAAAAGATTTGTCTTATTTTCTAAGCTATAAACGATCATTTTATTGCTCCATATATTGACCACAGCAACAAAAAATTTAATATAAAAGAATGAAAAGATTTGGTACATGGTAAACTTTCTATAGTAACTACATGAAGAGGAGAAAATATAGTCAGTGTATGTTTTAACACGTTCAGCTTTACATTGGAAGTATTCTGCAAGTTGGAATTACAGTTATTATGTGAACTTCTTACACTGTGAGATTCTTAAAATTTGTTCTACTTAAAATCATATATGAACTAAACATGAATGATCTATTTCTTGGATTTTAATGTAATGTTATTTCTGGCGGTTTTCTCAGGCAGCCATGTTATTTAGCTCTGGAGTCTTTTGGATGGGGCTGTTATTTATCCCTGCGGCTTCTCTGCTCCTGGATGTGGCGTGCAAGGTGTAAGTATAATCCTCAGCGCACAACAAAAATAAACTGCATGTTCATCCTCAGGTTTCTCTAGTTATAGTATTATTTCAAAAATGCAGCAGTATTACTTTAATGAATTTATAAAGATGAAAAGAGTGAATGAGAAAATAGAAAATAAAATTAGTTTAGAAAACTGACCAGGAAGTAAAAGGGTAGTTTCAGCTAACACTGGAGAGTGTATTTTTAGAAATCAGCTGAGAAAACTCTTTAAAGGTAGGAGAAAATGATCCTCTATCTTCAGATATAATTTTGTAGCTTTTATTTTGTCAGGACATGTGTTAGTGAACAGTTGCTGTAAAGGAAATTTTTTCTGACCTCATTCTAAATATTAAATGTTGAATGGAAGAACATCTTATCAGAACTTTTCTTTATGACATCTTATTATCTCATTCCTACTTTGGACAAACTTGCAGGCTATCGAATGTAGCCTGCCCACAGGGCAGAGTCTGGCAAACTCCCCGTGGCATACCAAATATGCCAAATACCAGTAACAATGATGGGTCTCATTCTCCTAAAGAGCCATGAATATAATCTCAGGGCTAGGATGAAAGAGACGTTACTGGGGCCTGCTCGAGACAATCGACGATTAACAGGATGATAAAATGATGAAATGAAATGAATGGAAGAAACTAATCTTTCTCAAAGATTACAAGTGTGCTATGTCCACAAAAAAGATATGAGTAACACTAATTATTTGATCCATATTTAATAAGTTTTAGTGTAAACTTAAATCATTTTTACTCTCATTTCTATAATTTTATTATTGACAATAATTACTTAATTTTCAAAACTTTGATTAAAGAAACTTTTGCACTTTGATGACTCTCATACTCATTAATAGCATGATGATAAGAAAACCAGTTTTATAGAGTCTCAAGTTTTCACATAGATTCTTTCCTTATAAATGTGTTTTATTGTAGTATCAAGAGGACAGCTTTTAAAACATTAGTAGATGAAGTTCAGGAGCTCGAGGCAAAATCTGAAGATCCTGGAGCAGTTGTGCTCGGAAAAAGGTAAAATGTATACTGTATTTTCCAAGTGAAATTACACTTATCTTTTCTTTCTGTCTTTTTTTTTTTTTTTATGGGGCAGGGGGTTGTTGTTGTTGTTCTTAGTTTTGAAGCCACCTCAGAATTACTCAAGGCTTACTCCTGGCTCTGTGCTCAGGAATTTATTCATGGCTTGGGGTAGGTCTCAGAGGTCCATATGTGGTGTCTTGGATTAAATGCAGATTGACTGCGTGCAAATACCTGCTGTACTATCTCTTCAATGTTTATCTTTTAATAGTCTTTGGAAATATGTGATAAGCCTTGTTTTTATCTGTTTTCATGGGATAGCAGTATTGTTGAAAGATTTTGGAATCAGAGAGATGTAGACTCAAATCACATCTATCACTAACTAAACTATGCATCTCAGAGCCAAGTTGCTGACTGCTATCAAGGCTTCCATTTCCTCATTCATTAAACAATAATACCTTCTTCATGGCTAGTGATCAGCATAGTTTAGAGCCTGGGGTTTAATACTCCTAAAACAAAGGGTAGTTATAAGGATTATTGTATTAGTAAAAAAAATAGGAGGAAAGATTTTTAGCTTAAAACTACATCTATAAAAAAAATAGCCTATAAAGGCTGGAGCAATAGTATAGCAGGTAGGGTGTTTGCCTTGCACATGGCCCATGGATTCTATGTACAGCATCCCATGTGATCCCATGAGCACCACCAAGAGTAATTACTGAGTGAAGAGTCAGGAATAACTCCTGAGCCCTGTTGAGTGTGGCCCAAAAAAACAAAATGAAAACGAAAATAGCACATAATCAAAACTGAGCTTGACATAAGGGTAGGGGCCTTCCAATTGTATTTGTTATCAGGAACTATTATCAGGAACTGACATCAGCATCTGTCATAGACGGAGCAAGTTATGTCGTCCAAGTCTTACTCACTCACTGTCAGCCTCCAAAAACTCAGCAAGTTTGCCTGACTAATGGAGAAGCCAGGGATGTGACTCAGCATCAGAACACTTGCCTTGCATGTGCAAAGTCCTGGGTCCAATTCTCAGCACTGTCAAAATAAAAGGTTTATTTTTGCAGCAGGCAACTAATCAAATGTATTCAATTCACAGAGCACTTAAAAAGGAAAATAAAATTACTTGAAAACAGCCTGGAATAAAACACAGTTGTGAATATCAAAAAAGGAGTATGCTTCTGTCTCTATTGCTTTGTTCTAAACCTAGGAAGCATTTTTCTCCCAGTCTATCTCACCTTAGTCTTGACCCCCTGTTGCTGCTCGTTTTGATACAGTGGAGTGAAGGGCCAGTCTGAGAACTCTTGCGGACCTTGGCTTCCTGACCTCTCTCACTCATTAGGCCAAAGCAGCATAGCACATACTTGTCTCTGCCTCCCTTTGAAAATAATGGCACTGGCATTTGCTGTATGGTAGGCCCCACATCTATCACTTCCTCTGCTGCTAAATTCTGCTTAAATTTTTCTCTTTTACCCCCCTCCCTCCCGTCCTCCCCACAGGGGGGCTTCCAAAGCAAGATGCTCCAATCAGAAGTGACCAGGTCCCCTGTCAGTTGATTCTAGAGCCCCTGATCCTCCCATTCTGCTTCCTTTTGCTGTTACTTGGTTTGATTTTGAAGAATATAGTGTAGCAGCAAAAACAGCCATGGACCAGACACAATCATCCTAGACTCTCTAAATCGGTGTTCCTTCATAAATGAAGAGAATGAGAATACCTATTTGCAGGATTATAGATCCTCCTCCCTCCATCTGTCCCTTCAGGAAAAAAAAAGAACATGAATAACAGTCAACGTCTAGTTCATTGCCTGGCCCAGGGTCTCTCTCTGAATGTTTTCCCTCTTTCACGCTTAATGTAAAAATGATGTAGTAGGATTTTTGGCTCACTAAATTAAGAATAAGACCATTTATTGTCATTAGAAAAGGACACTAATAACACTAGCCATAGGAGTAAAATCCTCCTATTTGTAAGTATGTTAATAAACCTGACTTTCAGGAAGCCTCTCCGTATGATTTTCAGTTTCCCTGTATTTCAGCCTGTCTAACAGACGCTTCAGTGTGAGGACCTGGGTCCTAAAGGCTGGATGGGTCTGTGCTGTAGGTAACCCTTCCCCTGAAATAAAATATATAAGTGAGCCTTAAAGGGACTGGAGTGAATTTCATCACAATGACCATGAGCAATGCAACAAATAACTTCCCAAAATTAAAAAGAAATTTCTAGCTGCTGCTTAAAAAATTCCTCAGCTTTCTTTGAGAACTCAGGAATTGCTTGTTCTTCAGTCAGTACCTCAGATAAAAATCCTCTGCTCTAACCTCCAGCTTGCATTGCTGCCCATGGGTGAACAGAGAGGATCTGTCCATGCTAGCTAGAAAAGAGGAAGAGAAGGGATCTATGAAAAGAGAAATCTAGCAACTAGATGGAAAACTCTTCATGCACTCTGAGGCATTTAAATAATTGGCACATGGATTTGACAACCAGGATTATTTTAAGATTCTTGGAGAATGCAATTGAGGCCAGATTCCCCCCAAGTTGGCTCATTATATCTATGTAGTCAGTGAGAGAAAGTGTGATTTCTCTGGATCGCAGCAATCTGGGGCTTTCTTTAGTTTCAAAACACTGTGCCTGTTTTCTAATGTGTCCCTGGCTTTGCACAGGCTGTTTCCTTGACTGGAGCTCATGCCCTTTTAAAGTCTGGACAGTCTAATTCCTAGTTTTTGAAATCTAGTTCAGCTGCAGTAACTTCTACTTCACATAGATAAAATTGATTCCTGCTCTGCTATTTTAGTATTATATTTTTGTTCTTTCATTTGTTCTATCATAATACACTTCTTGTACGTGTTGGTTTTCCATACTAAATTACACTCTTTGAAGGAGAGATCTCTTTTTGTCTCAACAGCAGCCTAAGAGCTAGCACAGCTATCTCATAAAGAGATAGCACTTGATAAATTTCTCAACTGGATAATTGACTGAGCCTTTAAAAATATATAAATGGGGGCTGGAGTGATAGCACAGCAGGTAGGGTATTTGCCTTGCATGCAGCCCACCTGGATTCAATTCCCATCATCCCGTATGGTCCCCTAAGCACCACCAGAGATAATTCCTGAATGCAGAGCCAGGAGTAACCCCTGTACATTGCCAGGTGTGACCCAAAAAGGAACAAATAAATAAATATTTTTAAAAATTAAAAAATAAAAATATATAAATGAATGATAGAAGAATAGTTGCATCATGAATAGTTGGTGAATAGATGGTTGACCTCTAGGTGGTGAAATTAAAAGAACACTGAGCTGGAAAGATAGTATAGCAAGTGTGGTACTTGCCTTACACATGGCTGACCTGAGTTTGTTCCCGAGCAACCCATAAGATCTCTCAAGCCACACCAGGAATGATCCCTGAGCACAGAGCCAGTAATAAGCCCTGAGCATAGCTGGGTCTGGGCAAAAAAGCAATAATTAAATAAATGCCATGTTGACTTATACCAGTCTGTCACTGTCCTCCCGTTGTTCATCAATTTGCTCGAGCGGGCACCAGTAACATCTCCATTGTGAGACTTGTTACGGTTTTTGGCACATCGAATACATCATGGGTAGCTTGCCAGGCTTTGCCTTGTGGGCGGAATACTCTCAGTAGCTTGCCAGGCTATAGACCTTAATACTATATAGATTAGCACTGTAGCACTGTCCTCCTGTTGTTCATCGATTTGCTCGAGCAGACACCAATAAAGTCTCCATTTTGAGACTTGTTGTTACTGTTTTTGGCATATCAAATACACCACGGGGAGCTTTCCAGGCTCTGCCGTGCAGGTGGAATACTCTCGGTAGCTTGCCGGGCTCTCTGAAAGGGACGGAGGAATTGAACTCAGGTCAGCTGTGTGCAAGGCAAATGCCCTACCGCTGTGCTATTGCTCCAGCCCATATAGATTAAACACCGCCAAATAAGGAACTTAGAAAAGCTTCCCCTTTTTTTGGCCAGAGAACAATGTCATTCTTAAGATCTTATTATTGCGGGGGCTTGGGGGGCATATTTCAGGCCACATCCTGCAGTGCTCAGGAGCTATTTCTGGCTCTGTTCTCAAGAGTGACCACTGCTGGTACTCAGGGGACCATAATTGGTGCCCAGGATTGAACTGAGTCAAACTGCCTTACAATATAAGCATCTTAGCCCTTGCATTGTGAGGTTTTGTTTTGTTTGAGGGGGGATAGGGTGTGAACTACACTCGTTGATGTCTCTACACTCAAGATGTATATACAAGTTATAGATGTCATCCTGGTCCCTGGTGGTGCCCAGGGACCCTATGGGATGCCAGGGAACACACCCTGGTCTGCTGCAAGCAAGACAAGGGCCTTTGCCACTGGCCTCAAGATTTAAAAGTACTTTAATACTTTACTAAGAACTAGCATCAGGTTAAACTATGCATAAAATGCAAATGTTTGTGAGAAACTGATGCTAAGGATTATAAGGACTATTGACTTTAAGGACTGTATCCAGATTAGTATTTATAGTCATTTATTTCTCAGCTTTAGTCATTTTCTAGTGGAACAGTACCCACTTACCATGTTATCTGGCAAATTGTATCTAATTTTACAGGAAGGACAGATGTGTTTCATCATCTTACTGTATTATTTTTGAGTGCTGGGTTCAGGTAGAAATAAATCTAAACTTTTAGGAGAATAAAGCAGGGGGTGAGAGTCACTGAAAGTACATTCCCCTTCCTACCCCCACCCCAACTGCCAATGCCTGGGTTTAATCCCCAACCCTGCAAAATAATTTTTAAAAATTTTAATTTAAGGGACTGGAGCAATAGCACAGTGGCTAGGGCATTTGCCTTGCACACGGCTGACCCAGGTTGATTCCCAGCATCCCATATGGTCCCCTGAGCACCAACGGGAGTGATTCCTGAGTGCAAAACCAGGAGTAACTCCTGAGCATTGCCAGGTGTGACCCAAAGAGGAAAAAAAAAATTAAATGTTAGAAAATAAATTCAAACCTTACTACGC